TCGCATATATCCGTATCTGTAGACCAAAAACAAAATGAAAGGTTTGTACTTCCCAGTTTCTCTATAATCAAGGCTCGCAGATTGCCCTCTATGCACAAAAAAATTTTTAGTTCAAGGATTATTAACGTCACTGCTATGTAAATAATGCTGTGCAATTGATTATGTTTGTTCATCGTATGCCATTTTGAAGAGCATTTCTCTCGGAATTTTTGAAGATAAGGAGGAGGGAAATGGCCTTAAGTTTACTACCCTCACTGTTACATCAAGACGGCTAGCCATGGTGGAAGTTACTTCATCATTTCATTTTCATGGTTAGGAAATCTAGAAACAGTTGCTATCCTAATATATGTGAATAGGGAAAACAAGATCACATCACCTGCGTCCAAATACCGTAAACCAAGTTATGAAGAAAGTAAGGTGGGTAAGTGCGTCCAAGACGACTTAAGAGATAACAAATAGAAGCAAATAGACTTTGCGGTAAGGAAACACAAGTGAGACTTACAAAAACTTTTCCGATAAATTCAAGCTACTAAGGATTTGGACCACTTGTGTTTGAAAATATGTGATTAGTTTAAGATTCGATTTCTATATTCTATGATTGTAGTAGCCATATAACGCTACACGTAAAGCGCTAGATAAGGTCTTTTTTCACAAAAGAGAGGCTGCTCTTTCTTCATTTCTTCTCAAAAGCTGCAAAAAGTCTAGTGATCTCATGCGTGGTGTAAAACCTTATATTAAATGGTGAAGATATAACAAATAAGCAAAAGAATCAGTCCTACATATATTTTTTGTTGAACATTAACACCCAAATGCAAAGATTTATGCTAATGTTGCAAAACATAGAAATAAATGTTCAGATTCGAGAATGGCAGAGCAAAAGGCAAGTATGAAGTGTCCAAAAGCATTTCTGAAATTATAGAAAGCATTGTCGAATAGGCACTAGTAAATGTTCATATCCGTTGGGCATGTTGAGGATTCCTCTAAGGATTGGTAGTCGTTGTGGTGTCGGTTACGGTCTTTTTCTTGTAATATTTAGTTGTCACATGCCTGGAATGCAAAGTAACAAAAAATTTAACCAGGATTTTTTTGAACAGACCTTGAAATAACACCCGGCTCAAGATCCTTTTCAACCACTCTCCTCTCCTCCTCCTTTAGAAGAGCGTATTCTTTTCCCGGATCGACAGCAGTCTGAGTTTCGCGTTTATAAGACACATCATGACCTTCAAGGTCACGATATTCGCCCTGAATAGACGAACTATCAGTTTACTTCTTCAGCCGTCTTTTGGCGAGGCTCACAATAAAATGCGCATAAATTAATGAGTTTCTGTCATGGACTTAGTTTTGCAGTAATTTAGCCATCTTTTTGGGTTTTTTGCTGTAAGATACAAGCAATCGAAGGATGTAGAAGTAACATTGTGACCAACTACATTTTTTGAAAGTCCTGGGAGGATCGTGATTTTCAACAGTCAAACCTGAGTGTTTGCACGAGTGTTGCTGATGCTT